CCCGCCACAACGCCTGGCTATTTTTTGGTTGCAGCCATCATTGTTGTTTGGCCGGGGCTGGATTTGAACCCACCACGTTAGGTGTATGTAGCTGGCGCCTTAGCCACTTGAGCCACAGGCACTGAGCCAGGAATTCATATTCTACCAAGGGACTTGGAGAAGCACAGACAATTGCTATTCATATAAGGGTCATGATAGATCATGGAGGAGGAGCAATGTGGTCAGTCCTAGAGTGGTATCAGGACAACTTCCTGGAGATGAGCAAAGCTGAGCCATAGAGGAACAGTAGGGCTAACCACGTGGAGGTACTCCAGGCAGAGAGATGGTCATCCCTTCCCCAGGCAGCTTCCTGAGCACCTCTAAGCACCTACTCTGCGCCAGGCATCGCGCTAGGTGCGTTCAGGACTGTTGCCTCATTAAACTCCCAGGAACAGCCTGTAAGTGAGGAATTGTTATCCCCATTTTACAAATTTCAAAGCTGAGTGTGAGAAGATGAAGCCATTTGCCTGGGCTGTGTGGCAGAGCCGGAATATGAATCTAAGTCCCCCGATCCATTCTTCCCAACCTTCTCCTTCACTTCTCTGGGAACACTGGGTTCCCAGAAACAGAAATGTAGAAAGGTAGGGTCTTCTGGATGGTTCCAGGGGGAGGTGAGATGGGTAGGGAATGTGATTTGGGATAAGTCTCCTCTCCTCCTTGCTCCCCTCCACTGGTAGGAGAAAGAGTTTTCTGGGAGTTGAACAAAAAAGTTAATAAGGTTTTTTTCCTGTCTTAATTGGTCATTTATTTTCCCAAATCACCTGGCCCAAATTTCTAAAATGTCTACTTGTGTTAATCTCATAAATTGCAGGGGCTGTGAGTTCCTCCTCAACATGCTGGTCTGATGGGTGGATGCCCGTGGACTCCAGGAGACTGGCTTAGCCATGCATTTGGGCCAGATGGACCTGATTTAAACTCCAGCCTTGCCACTGACCAGCTGTGCCACCTTATACAAGTGTCTTCACTTCTTCAAGCCTCAGTTTCCATGTCTGTTAACTGGGTATAGGATCATCGAGGCCTTGTTCAATCCCATGAATGACAGGAAAAAATCAAATTAAAGTAAAATCCTTTTTGACTATAAAAGGCTGAGAAAATGCAATAAAATATGTCTAGGGTAGTGATGTCCTTTGAGAACTGTCACCAAGGGATCTGGCATGGTGGATGGAGAGGCAGTTTGGTGGAACAGCAGCTCTTCCAAGTAGTAGCTATGTAACCTTGAGCTCCTGGTGCCTCAGTTTCCTCATCTTTAAAATGGGAATAACAGGCTTGGTGCCCATAGCTCAGTGGATAGGGCACTAGCCACATATACAGGGGCGGGTGGGTTTGAAACTGGCCCTGGCCTGCTAAACAACGACAACTACAACAAAAAAATAGCTGGATATTTTGGTGGGTGCCTGTAGTCCCAGCTACTTGGGAGGCTGAGGCAGGAGAATTGCTTAAACCCAGAGTTTGAGGTTGCTGTAAGCTGTGACAATACGGCACTCTACCCAGGGCAACATAGTGACACGCTATCTCTCTGTCTCAATAAATAAATAGATAAATACATAGGAATAACACCCACCAAACAGTACCTGGAGCATAGTAAGTACTGGATAAATGCTGGCTGTTTTTAATTTTCATGTATATTTAACAAGGACTGATAACGGCTGCAGAGGAAGGACAGATTTTGACCTCTGGGAGACATGGGGTTCAAATCCAGACTTACTGTTGACAAGCTGTGTGACCTCGGGCAAGCTACTTAATCTCTCCACGCTTTAGTTTTCTCCTCTGTGCAGTAGCAATAAAAAGGAAACCTACTGTGTGTCTATAGCAATAATTCTGATAGCTGTTTCCGAGTAAACGGTGAAAACGGACAGCTGCTATTATTATTATCCCCTCCCTCCTCTGAGCCTGCTCTGTATTCAGATGCTCCCTGCTCCTACCTCTTTCTTCCTCCTTCTCTCGGACGACCCTTCCCTTGAGGGCGCGGCTCCAGGTTCCTCCATAGTCGCCCAGCTTTGCTCTCTCGTTGCCATCCTTGCCCTTGAACCAGGGTCCATACCTGCGGGCGATGCTCGAGACTTCTCCTGCATCTCGGAAGCCTCTGCCCAGATGCATGTCACCCAAGAAGGGCAGCTCTGCACCCTCGGCTGGGCCCCCTGCAGCAGCGGGGTTGGCCTGATTCTGGGAGACTGCAGGCTGGCCCACGAAGCCAGAGTGAAGGAAGACGAGGCTCCCGGCTGTCAGGTAGAGTGCCAGGAAGGTAAAGAAGCGCACAGGTTTCCGGCGGAAGTACCGCTGGAATTTGAACCAGAGCTTGGCCATAGCAGGATCATTCCGGACTGGCTCACAGGGGTGTGGCTGAGGAGCTTGGGGGAGAGAAAGGGGCTTAGTCTCCCAAGCTGCCCTTAGTGATGGACCCCTGGAGGTCCTCAGTCTTATTCTCTCTGCAAAGGTGACTGTCAAGGCCAGAGTCCAGCAAGTCCTGTTTTTGGCTGAGGTCAAATGAAAAAAGGACCGGGCTCACCAGCCCTCCCAAAGTCAAACCGAACTTCTTTGGACCAAGAAACGAGTTTTGAGGCTCACGACACCCAGGAGTTGGTCCCATTTTTCTACATCTTGCTCTTCATTTCAGAGAGTCCCAAAACGACTTTGAAAATAGCAATTGACAGATAATTCCGAGGGTTACAAACAACCGTGGTTCACGTCTCGCCCTTTCTCGGGTCCTCAGGTGTGTCGGAGCTAGATTATTTCACTGAGGGCCTTATTTCTGGCCTCTTCCCCACCTGGGGACCAAGCTCGGCATGCCTGCCTTGTGGGAACAGAAGCTGGAGGGCCTCCATCCAGTCAAGCATCAGGGCTCAGGGCTGCCACCTGCAAAACAGTACAGACACAGGCATCAGAAGCCCCCTCAGCAAAGCACAGGACTCAGAGGGGTCCTCAGTGTCCTCAAGGTGGGTATAGGGCCCCAGAGAAGGGAGGAAAGCCCTTTAAGAGGTGTAGTAGGTACAAGTCCAGGCCTGAGTTTCTGAGACACTGCCTCTTCTTTTAAACCAAACTGGGATTTTGAGGGCTTACAACATATTGGGCCCTAGTTTGGGGATAAACAGTATCCCAAGGGTCCCATGGATGGATTACTGTGCTCCATACTTTCTGTAGTTTGTCAAATATACACTGCTTTGTGTGTTACCTTAAGTTCAAAAAGTGTTTCCTAAGTCCTTGAGTGAACGGCTAGACCTGGCTGCTTCTGAACCAGATCAATTTTATTCATTTTTTCCCCAACAAATATTTAGTAAAACTGAGTATGCACCAGGTGCTGTCCTAGGTGCTGGAGATAAAGTCGCAAGCCAGAGAGACAGCATCCCTTCTCTCCTTGGGCTCTCTCCTATGGATTTGGGCTCTCTCCCCTTCTCTCTCCAAGGAAGGGCAAAAGAGGAGAAGTAGGGTTATGAAGCAGCATATTCTTCATTCATTATTTACTGAGTGCCTACTGTGTGCCCAGCTTTGTGCCAAGCCCACTATGTGTGTCATCTCATTTATTCTTCCCAACATTCCTCTATTTCCCCATTTTACAGATGAGGAAATTGAGGTAACACAGCTGGTGTTGTGTTCTCTGGAGACTCTCTGAAGTGAGGTCCAAATCCAAAGCTGTAGCTCTGAACTCTCTGTCTCTGAACTCTTTGACTCCCCACAGAGTCTGGACATCACTTGAGAATTCAGCCCCCAAATCAGCAGCCTGTCTCCCTTGCTTCCCAGTTACAAGCAGTGGCTCACTGTACCTCTCTGAGTATGGTCTAAGGAACGGCTGATTCAGAATCCCCCGCAGCCTGGTACATGTGAAGATTCCTGAGTGCTAGTGCTCCAGCCAGAATGTCTGGTTGAAGAGGTCACAAGGTACTCTCAGATAACAGTAATAAGCACAGAGGGTGAAGACCATTGCTTTATTAGTAAACCATTAAGACCTTTAGTCAAGGGGGGAAAAAGAATGTAAATTAGAAAAGAGGAAGAAAACTCCAGTTGGGCATTTATTTTTTTCCTATTACCACCAGCAGGAGCCCCATGACAACCTTCACCAATGTCTGCATTGTCATCCAACAGAAGATTGAATGAGAACAGCCCCTCTGATTTAGGCAGCCTCATGGGCACTTAACTGTGGGTTAAGGTAAAGTCAGCTATCCATTTATTCAGGAACTAAGTACTGAGCACCAGCTACTCTCCTAGACACTTGGAATAAATAAGTGAACAAAAGAGACAAAAGTCTATGCCCTGTGGAGTCACATTATGTATCTATTTACCCTCCCATCCGTCTGTCATCCATCAATCCATGTACCCATTCATTCATTAAGCCATTCATCCATATGCCCTGCCTTTACTCTATTCATTAACCCATTCATCCATCAATTCATTCACTTGTCTATCCATCTGAACTGTAGCACCCGGTCCATTCATCCAATTCTTCACCCATTTAGCCATCTACCCATTCTTCCATTCATTTAAAAATACAGGCTGATTGCCTACTATGTGTGTGCTTGGGAGGCAGAAATAAATAATTCTCTGCTTTCAGAGAATTCAGAGTCGATCGAGGGAGAAAGCAATTTAAACAATCACTACACTAGATAGACAATGATAAATCCCACAGTAGATGTATGTACAAGATACAGAACAGCAATCAATATTAATAGTTAATGTTTATTGAGCACTTGATGTATGCCAAGCCTTGTTCTACACACCTACATACTCTTATTTAAGCCTCATAATAATTCCAGGAGGGAGACCTGTTTATCTATTTTGCAGCGAGGTTAAGTATTATGTTCAGGGTCACACAGCCGGGAGGTGGCAGATGGGTTGTGAACCCAAGACCACCTGACTTCAAAGCCTTTTTTTAACCATGTACCTATTCTGATCTTGAATTTCTTTGAGGATTTGATGACAACAGATGTATGCCCAGAAATAAGCCCTGCACATGAGCTCCTACATTTTGGCTTAAACTGTCAGGGAGATCATAGAGCCTGGGGTGAGAAGCTCTGGAAGGTGGGAGTCCAGAGAAGTAAGGATCTACACTCTGGGAGGATCAGATAGGGCCTCCTCAGGGAGAGGTTTTTGAGCTGGCAGATCTTGCAAGAGTAATCAAAGGTCTCACAAGAGAGTGTCAAAGTTCTCTGGGTGAAGGAACAAGAGAAGAACAGTGCCAGGAGGAGGACGAGCCTGCCACGCTCAGAAGTCCAGGCCGTGTTCTGACTGTGCATGTGGGAGCCCACTGAAGTTTCACACGCCAACACTTTAGAAAGACCAGTCTTTTGGTAGCTTGAAAACCTCTGGGCAGTGGACAGTGCTCCTGGAGTATTCCATATAGATCATGCACATGCCAGATGTTTCTGCAGCTGAACTAAGATGAGAAGAAGCCAGCGGCCCTCACAGGAGGAGCAGGATGACACCAGCCTTTCTGGAGGCATATAGGAAAGAACACAGGCTCTGGGGACAAACCAGCCTGGGTTCAAATCCTTTCTCTTCTACCCACCAGCACACGACTGAGGTAAGATACCTCTTCTCATCAGGACTCTTGACTCCCTTCTCAAAAAAATATATTGTTGGGAGGGTTGAATTAAAGATCATAAGAGGAATGTCTCACACATAGGAGATGTGGCCCAGCCCCGTTCTCCACCCCTGGGAGGCACATGCAAGCAAACCTTAAAACCATTTGCCACATCAGCACATTCGCTGCTGTGGAGACAGAGATTTCAGGATGGTGTTCCCTGTGGCTTTTTGCCTCTCTGAGGATATTTCTGGGTCTAGTTCTTTTTTGTTGTTCCCTCCTTGTTCTTTTATATTTCAACACATCTTTTCTCTAAGTGGGTGCCAAATGGGCTTTAAGAGGATAATGAGCTCATTAGAAGCTGGCAGGGAACAGAAAGGGACCGAGACATTGGTGGTGTGGGAAATGAAAGGGGCCCCCAGGGCTGTGTGGAGGGGGCTGTGCCCATCACTGCTCTCGGGGCTCCTGCTCCGTCTGGGGAGGGAAGGAGATGATGTGAGCCGTACCTTCTCTGCTGCCAGTGCTAGGAAGCTGCTGGGGGCTCATCTGGAGAAAGAGACCCTGGGGTCTGAGCCTCATGCAGGTGAGACGGAGTCCGTGCTATCACCACTTCATCCACTGGCGAAGGAAATGAATAAAAGGAGTTGGGGACTGGCCCTCCCCCAGGGCTTAAACTTACAACCATGGCTTCACGCTGTGGCCAAAGCACTCTGGGGACAGCCTCAAAGAACCATGACCTCACGTCTCTGCAGAGGCTGCATCTGCAGTTACTCAGCGCTGGGTGGTTCTGGGGTTCAGGGATCCCTGCTGAGCCATAATCCCATGTCCTCAATGGAACCCCAAAGACTCCTGTGCCATTATTTCCCTTTTGTCTCTGTCTCTCCAAGTCTATCTCTCTTTGTCTCTTTTCCTGCTTTCTCTCTCTCTCTAAACAGAAATTCTGCCCCCAAGCCAATGGGAAAATGAAGCTAACTGCCATTTATTGAGCACCTACTATATGCCAGGCACTGTGTTTAAAGGTTTTAAAAACATTGTTTCACATACTCCTCTCTCCGGGCAACCTGGGAGACAGGTGTGATATTTCTTTCCAATCCACAGGCTGCATATCTACAGCCTGGGCTTGCCTTCAGCAAGCCCCCCATCCCTGTCTGTATTTGCTCATAGCATGTTGGGAATCAACTGTATAAATATCCCCTCCATTCGAGACCCAGGTAGGGGCCTTCACCTCAGTGAGCGGCAGTCTTCTCTCCACACTGAGTCATCCATATATAGCACGCCCTTCCCTGGGCCGTGGGGAGAATTTGATGAGACAATGCACAGGGCTGAGTCAATACTTGCTAGGATCTGCCTAGCATGGCTTCATTTCACATGAGACCCCTCTGAGCCTCAGTTTCCCCATCTATTGAATGTGGCAGATAATCCCTCCATCTCCCTCACAGGGATAGCATTAAGTTTCTGCAGAGAGGAGGCTGAGGGGTCCCCTTTTGTCGTAGTGGCAGCATTTGGTGACTGCAGTTTGAGTTTCCAGCAGGAGCCTCCAAGTGTCTAAACACGGCCTATTTTTAGCAACAGAATGAACCTCTGGTATCTGGCTGCCAACTGAAAGATGGGCAGGTAGAGCTGCCCAGGAGGGGGGAGGGAGACAAAAGGCACAGCCTGCCCTGGGCTCTCCTCCCTGGTAATGAAAGGTGCTCCCACTTCTAGGTTCTGGGAAGGGGTCAGGACAGAAGCCCAGGAGGCTGAGAAGGTGGCCAGCCCTCTCTCCACTGCCCTGAGAATCTGACTTGAGGGCAGAGGCAGCTTCTGGGGACTGAGCAGGCCCAGGCACCAGCTGAGCACCTGACTATCCACACTTTGCCAAGAAATAACGGCTGAGAAACCAGATTTGTGAAGGTCTGGGTGGGAGAACCTTCTGGGAAGTGTCCAAGAAATGGGGGAGACCAGGCCAGAGACAAAATTTTGGTCTTTTCCTAGTAACAAAAATCTCAGCAATCCCTGCTGTTTGCTGAGCACCTATGGTGTGCCAGGCATTGTGTTAGGCACCTCAGTGCCATCGTACCTTGCAATCCTCACCATAATCCTTTGGGGCCGTCATTCGCTTCTCAGTACCTCAGTTTCCTCACGCAGAGAATGGGGGTATCATAGTGTTTATCTCAGGGTTGGTTGGTGTGAAAACTAAATGAGTTAACACACGCAAGTGTTTAATATTACCCTAACATATTAACATATATAAGGGGCAAGCGTTCCATCTTATTATAATCATTTATAGAGAATACTTGTGGTTTTGCCTGTAAAGATCCCATTTTCATTCACGGAGCTTCTCCCTTATGAATTCTCAGCT